CCATGTTTCAAAAACTAATAGGTGGTCTCGCAAACTGAAATCAAAGGTTATTCTTCTACGGCGCTTGGGTTCTTTTTTCCCATTTAAAGCGGCTTTATTTTTTTTATTATTCCTTTATTAAAGCCTTTAAGCATTGTCTCTTTGTTTTTAATTTAATATTTGTGTGGGGGTTTTCATTTGTCTGCGCAGCGTTTATTGGAATTCTTTGAGGGACGTGGTGGGATTGCGAGGGCGTTTGAATCCAAACCAGAATGAGCTGGCAAAGGTACAAAACACACATTATTAGCACGGTGATTTATGGGCAAATTCCCATGGATTTGCTTTTTGCAAAGCAGATGATGGTGTTTTCTGGGAGGCTTTCAGGGCACCCCGTCACAAATGGACTTCTTGTTGTAAAGGGCACAGCCTGGGTGTATTTATGTGTGTGTGTTTTGGGTTTTAAAGTGATTTTACAGAGTTTCTGTAGAGAATAACGCTTAAAAAAATGATTTATCTTATTAAGAAAAATCAATAATGTTTCACTTTCATGAGAATGGTGAATTTAAAACAGAGTAGAAGGAGAATTGTTTGAAAGCGAAATTTTATGTGGATTTTCCTCCAGTGCAAGGTGATTTAGGTGAGTATAGGCTGTAAATTCTGACATTAAAACTTGTGTAAAACTTTTTATACTTTTTATCTGTGACAATTTTCATAGGGAAAAGATGCTTAGCTACAGAAGGGCGAAACTTCTTCCACAGTTGGCCACATAATAAACTTATTTATAAAACCTGAGTGTTTACATCGTAATATTTGGTGGTTCATATCCTGCTGAGGTAGTGTTGTCAGAACAGGACCTAGTGAAGATTGGTCGTAAAGGAAATCAAAACGTGGCATGAAAGTGTCTCAAGGGCAGTAAAATAATACTGAGTGCTCCTGTGAACATGGAGAATTCACAAAAACCAAAAGGAAGTGGGATAGGACGTGCTCTTCAAGGACAAGTAGTAGAAAACATGATAAAAGCCAAAGCTGGGAGTTAAACTGGTGCCACAGTCGTGGGTGTAAATCCTGGTTCCCGCTTGGTGTGTCAGCTTCATCCAGGTTTGTAATCCAAATAAAAAGTGGGTTTTGCCCCTTTATAATATTTGAGGATATTGATAAGCAAATAATGACACAGTGGAGCTAATTTGAACTTCCTATCTAGAAAAATGGCACTTGTAAAAAATGAATAAGGTTTAGTACGGGTGTGGGAGCGCTTGGTTTGAAATGACCTGGGATTCCTCTCTTTGTGCCCGCAGGTTTCAGCAAACAGATGGTGGAGATCCTGAACAAACACGGCGTTTCGTTTAGCAGCTTTGACATTTTTTCCGATGAAGAAGTTCGTCAGGGGCTGAAAACGTATTCGAACTGGCCAACCTACCCGCAGTTGTATGTAGCTGGAGAGCTTATAGGTGGACTTGACATTATCAAGGTTAGAGACTGAGAAATTAATTATCTTCTTGGTTGTCACCAGCTTCTTCTTGCTTTCTACATCTGCTTTTTCCTCTCCGCAGGAGCTCGAGGCATCTGGAGAGCTGGACACGGTCTGTCCCAAGGCACAGAAGTTGGAGGACAGGTGTGATGTATCATGTCATTATTTTAAGGGTCTCTATTTTGAGGTTTCCTGGGTGTTCATTTATATAGGAGGAACTCCTTAGATACATTTCTGTTCTTTGACTTTATCAGTTCATCAAGATTTTCTTTAATTACAGGGCTCCTGCAGCTGTTTAATATGTTCAGTTTGCTATACAGTGAGCACACTTTATATTACAGCATCACAGAATGTCAGGAGTTGGAAGGGACCTGGAAAGCTCCCCCAGTGCAACCCCCCCCGAGCAGGATCACCAGAGCAGTCACACAGGAACACGGCCAGGGCTTTGGGTGTCTCCACACAAGGAGACTCCACAACCTCTCTGGGCAGCCTGGGCCATGCTCCAGAACCCTCACACTCACAAACTTTGGCCTCATCTTCAGCTTGAACCTCCTGTGCTCCAGCTTGGGACCATTGCCCCTTGTCCTGGCATTGGCCATCCCAGAGCAGAGCCTGGCTCCTTCCTCCTGACACTGCCCTTTCCCAATGGATCCCCAGGAATGAGGGCACCCCTCAGGCTCCTCTGCTCCAAGCTCAAGAGCCCCAGCTCCCTCAGCCGCTCCTCAGCAGGAGATGCTCCACTCCCTCCATCACTTTGTGGCCCTGCTGGGCTCTTTCAAGCAGTTCCTGTCCTTCTGGAGCTGAGGGCCCAGCACTGGACCCAAGATTGCAGCTGTGGTGTGAGCAGGGCAGAGCAGAGGGGCAGGAGAACCTCTCTGCCCTCCAACCACCCCTTCTCATCCAGCCCAGGATGGCGTTGGCCTTCTTGGCTCAAGGGCACATTGCTGGCTCATGGGCATTGCTGTTGTTGGCTTTTTGGCACAGCCTGTAACTGTGGTGTCACTGCAGAAAACATCAAGGTTTACCTCCTTGTTTTTCTTGGTCTCTCGTGTCCTTCAGTCCCTGTTTGCTTTCACCTTGGCAAGGTGAATATCTGCTGCAGCAGTGGGAAGTGATCCTTCCCAAATCGGCTGTAATATCTATAAACCAATTTGTCCTCCTTTAACCACCCTGTTTGAAGATTTGTGTGTGTTTGAAATCCTGGCGTGCCCCAGGCGGTCAGGTTCTAGATATGCCAAGTCATCCTGTTGGAGATGCTCCTAGTACAAGGGGCTTGTTTTTCCTACTTCCTTTTAAATTTTCCTTTAATTTGTGGCTGAAATTTCCCTCTTGTTGCTCTAGAAGGGGAACTTGTAAATCGTTTTACACTACCTTTTTCAGTTTGAGATTAAATGACCTATAAAGATGAGATTGTCTCAGTATGGCCTTTTAAAAACTTACTTTAGAAAGCTGCCTTTAGGTTCATCTTTCCTTTTTGCAAACTTGCATAAGCTGCAACTTTATTGCATTTATGCATAGTTCTTTTGCTTCATCTATCTGGGGAAAGAAGGTAATGTGAAATGTCCTCTGCTTACCTAATTAAATTGAGCTACACCAACAATTTCAGTCTATGTCTCCCTCAACGAGCACCAGCAGCATCTTTTGAATGGGTGCGTGAAGTTTTTACCAATTTGACCAATTTTTTGTGTAGAAGTGGCCTGAAGGCAAACGGACTAAAAATCCACCAGTCACAAGTAGCTTCTCAGTGCCTACTTTGTTCTTCACCTTGGAGTAGGTGCTTGTTTTTTGGGTGAGCACGTGACATTTAGCTTGTTTTCTGGTGACGACTGGGAAGTTATTTTTCCATGATACAGATTGCTTTTAATTGGTAGCTAACCTCATATTTAACATGTGAGCAACTGCTGTCTTTCAATCTGCATTCACACTGTGGGTTACTCATAAGAAAAACCCTATGAGGTAGTTATTCAGACATATTAAAACTTAATAAAGCAAAGGAATATCAGTAGTAGAATCTGTTTAATGCTGAATTATGTTCTTTTACTCAGTGTTTGATCTCCTCCCCTCAATTAACTGTGTTAGAAATACCCTTGAAAATGGACTTGGTTTCACAGAACAGCCCTGGCAGCTGGGGGAGCAGCTCCTTTACTGGAGCTCACTTTTGCTGTTAATTTTGATGTTGCTTTTTAACCAGGAGGCAACTTGGCTGGAAAGATCCTGTTTGGAATCTTCCATATGCAAAGGCTGTAGGTAATGAACAAAACTTCACGTAGTTTTAGTTTGCAAAGGCCCTGAATTCTCCAGTCTGGAATCTTTCTGCATTGTGTGAGTCATGCAAAGAGACCCTTTACAGAAAATCATCACCTTTTATGCACCTTTTTTTCCATCAGTTGTCCCAGAGAGCTACTGGATAGGGCACAGTGGGGCAAACCAGACTTATTCCTGAATTTCAGTAGTGGTGAGGCCATAGATCTTGTGACTAAGGAGCAGTAACATAGAGAGTGAGAAATGCTGAGTGTTGTATTTAGTGTGTGAAAAAGTATGTCATTAAATATAGATGTTGTATTTAAAATGACAAATGAGAAAGGATGTTTCTCCTTCCAACTTATTGCTGCTTGATACTTAAAGGCTTGTGACTGAGGAGCAGTCACAGAGAATGAGAAATGCCAAGTGTTGTATTCAGTGTGTGGAAAAAGTATGTCATTAAATATAGACGTTGTATTTAAAATGACAAATGAGAAAGGATGTTTCTCCTTCCAACTTATTGCTGCTTGATACTTAAAGGTAAATCTAGGAAAGTAAATTGTTGCTCTAAAAGTAACGGGATGTTTCCAATTCATTCACTAGTTTCTGTAAACAGTTTGACTGAATAGAGTTGCTTATAATAACGCTTTAAATGCATTTAGTAAAGCCACAAGTTGCCATCTTTGCACTTTTTGCATGTGTTTTCCTGTGGAAACAAAGCTTGGGATAATAACTGAGCTGTTTTGTGTCTGTCTTCATGTTTTCTGTAGGCTTAAAGTCTTGATAAACAAAGCTCCTGTGATGCTTTTTATGAAGGGAAGCAAACAGGTAAGATGAAGTGTTGCAGCAAATATTGCATTTAAACAGTTTGTTACACAGTGACAATTACCTTCTTTTCCTTGCTTTCTTTGCCTAATGAAAATCAGTGGTGCAGGGAAGTTGTTTTGGTGCTTCTATAAGGGACAGAAAAGCAGTGCCTGCTTTACCTAATGGAAATACACTGCTGAAATGCTGGTAGGTGTTGCAGTCAAATCAGGGGATTTGATGCCTTTCGGTGATGTCTGTCAATAAATCTGCAGTTCAGGAAGGAGTGGACAACCTGTGCGTGTCCTTTTGGTCTCAGTGATGGTCTCTGCAGATAGTGGATTTTCTTCTGATGTCCTGAGTGCTTGCCCTGATGTCTGTCCTACTTGAAGCATGCACTTTATTGTCCAAAACTTTATCTCTGGTCACATGTTTCTTGAATTTTCCCTCTGTTGACCCAATTGGATGGGGTGTCCTATCCTTTCTAATTTCTCTGGCTTTATTATGCTTTCACAACTGCATTTGAAATAAGCTGCTACATGTTTTTAAGGCCAATGTATAATGCCACATTCCATAAATGATCCACTCTCTTCCTCACATGCACGGAATAGTCTATGCCTGCTGTCCTTAAGCCACACTTAATTATCTTGCTGAAATAAAGACAGTGACTGAAGCAGACAACTGCTAACAGTGAGGATTAAATTATAGACAAACGACTGGACAGCAAAAGGTCAGCACTGCTTTGTGTTGCATGCTCAAAGTAATCAGGGGATAAATTGTTCCCTTCTGAACAGCAGGCACTGCACTTCTCCCTGTCAGAATTACCAACAGCACCGAACTCAGACTCTCAGCAGAGTGCTGGGCCCTAACAAGAGTTGCAGTTGGTGACTGCAGGTTATGAGAGTTGTTTATGCGTTAAGGGATGCAGATATAGGGGACTGAGCTCGTTCTTGTGGCTTCTCTTTCCATTTCATTTTCTCATTTGTTATCACAGAATCAGAGTGGTTTGGGTGGGAAGGGACCTCAGAGCCCCCCCAGTCCAACCCCCCATGGGCAGGGACACCTCCACCAGCCCAGGCTGCTCCAAGCCCCGTCCAACCTGGCCTTGGGCACTGCCAGGGAGGGGGCACCCACAGCTTCTCTGGGCAGCCTGGGCCAGGGCCTCACCACCTCACAGGGAGGGATTTCTCCCTAATGTCTCATCTAAATCACCCTCTTCCAGTTTAAAACCATCCCCCCTGGTCCCATCACTCCATCCCTTGTCAAAAGTCCCTCCCCAGCTTTCCTGTCCCCTTCAGGTCCTGGAAGGTGCTCTAAGGTCTCCCTGCAGCCTTCTCTTCTCTGCTCCAGCCTGAACAGCCCCAACTCTCTCAGCTGTCCCCACAGCAGAGCTGCTCCAGCCCCTCAGCATCTCCATGGCCTCATTGGGACCCCAACAGCTCCATGGCCTTTTCGTGCTGGGGACTCCAGAGCTGGACACAGTTCCCTGTTTGTTCCCTGGACCTTTTCCCTATTAACAACAGGCACTTCTCAGTGTAATGGGGTGTTTGGCCGAGCCATTTCATAGGTGCTGGGATCCTGTGGGTTTTGGTCACCCACTGAAGCAGTGGGGAGGAGCTGCTCATTCCTGTCTCCTTTGACACCTGAGCCTTTTCTGCAGAAAGCAAGAGTTTGGGCAAGTTGCTTAACTAACATGTTCTGAGTTTGCTTGCACAGGAGTGAAATCCTGAGTAAGAAGGGATAGTGTGGATGAAAATCCAGTGTCTACAAAACGATGGGTGTTCTGTGTCCTTACACTGCCAGTATGAAGAGTCTGCAGTAGTTTCAATTACTAATTTCAGTTGGGAGTTGCTCTACGTGCAACCTGTTAATCAGTTGACCGTAGGATGGAAAGTAAAAGGTAGCATATGTGTCAAAATAAACCACGTCTATTTTACAAATGCATACAAGGCAGTTATACCCATCCTACCTACAGCTTTGGCTTTCTGAAAGTTCCGAAAATAGTCAGGCTTACGTGGTTTTCAAGGTACCATTGCCATACCTGGAAAACAGATTCACCTTCTATCATTTCACACCACAACTGGGGAAAGTGTTTAATATTCTCAATGTTTTCATTTCAGCAGGTTCTATAAAAAGACATTGAGCATTGTTTAAAGCTCAAAGAGTATAAGGATGAAAAAGGGATTAGCAGTGTTGATCATCCAGTAAAGTCATCACTAGTCATAATTTGGCAATAGCTCTAGTGCAGCTTGAGGACCTGGAGTTCTGTAGGTTAAATAGAGCAGAGAGGTGTTTTCACGTGTGTTTTGTCTTCTAGGTTGCAAAGTGTGGATTCAGCAAGCAAATTATAGAAATCCTAAATAATACTGGGTATGTAAGCGGGGTTTTTAAATTTAATTTGGGAAGCCAGTTCTGTTTTAAAAACTACATTTTGTAAATAGTTTGGAAAATACTAGTGGAAGACTTCCCCAAATGTAATTTGCTTTGTTTAAGAGTATTTTTAAGTTTCTTTATGTTAAAGCCCACAGCGTAAATCACTGCTACACTTACTGATACCAAGCCACGTGTGATGTGTCAGATACGACTGCTTTCTCACTACTCCATAGCAATTGTCTTACTTGGGTTGAGGAGTTTATTGCAAAAGTGAATTTCTTTCTTATTTTCTGTGATGACATGAAAGAAATCCTCTGGTCTGATAAGCAGCTTCTCTTGGAGAGGTCTCTCTTGATCTGCCTCCTTAATCTTGGAGCCTCTTGTGCTATCAGGCCTCAGTTTGCCTCCTCAGAGCTGTTTAGTGGGGAGATGGGCATCATCTGCCTGGGAATAAACTCCTGTTTCACTTGTCCTGCTACTTAGAGTCTAAGCCGTTGTCTGGGTTACTAGGGTTTAGAATGGGCTTTGGGAGAATAGATAACAATATATCAATATACAACTGGCAAATAAGTAGCAGTTACTCAAACCACTTCCTTGTCTCTGGTTTATAAGGTGCTGGCTATTGAAGATGTCAGCTCTTGGAATATGAGGAATTGCATCCCAAAACTCACACTTTGACCAATTTGAGCCATGAAACTGGACATTTTTCACATCAGAGCTCAATATGAGGCATCAATGCTTTTCCTCCTGTTGCCTGTTAACTCCGAGTGATTCGGGTGCCAACTTGTACGCGTACCCAGGTTGAATTTTTGAGGGTCTTCTCTTGCAAAACTGCCCAGTCGATGACTTTGTGTTTTCGTCTCTTTTTCTAGCATTGATTACGAGACATTCGACATACTGGAAGACGAAGAGGTAATTGAGCTCCCCCACCACCGAGGATCTCCCTGTTGCGTTTACTAAAGCCGAAGTTTACATTTAGGATTCTCTCTCTCAGGTGCGGCAAGGACTAAAAACCTTCTCAAACTGGCCGACGTATCCTCAGTTGTATGTGAAAGGTGACCTTGTTGGCGGGCTGGATATTGTTAAGGTAGGAATGGAGATGTAAATTGGCTTAAGATTAAAACTGGCAATATTTTCTGCCCGTAATGTACAGAACTTCCTGTGCAGTGGCCCTGGCTCTTGGAACCGAGCGATTTGGTTGTTTTTGCCACGATTTCTATAGCTCAAGGTACATCGAATGGAGCTTTAAATCTCTGGCGCTCTCATATGCCGAGATTTAGCAGTGAAATGTATTTCCTTGACAGCAGTCAGTTACTGTTACTGTAAAGACCGTTTTCACCCCCTGGGTGCATTTTTACAGGTTTCTTTTCCCTAGTTTTACTCCTGACATTGCTTTTCTCAAATAAGGTGGGCAAGACATTTTTTTTTTTCCTAGCAAACAGGCTCATTCCTGGCAGAAAGTCAGGTTTATTGGAGTTGTTTGAACAGCCCCCGAAGCAACAACAATAGATCTGCATCTGTTACGGTGGTTTTTGATTTTTGTAACAGAGCAGGCACAGTGTTCTCACCCCCAAATACTCCTGAGCCCATTCTTGTCTGAATGCTTTATAGCCAATTCCTCAGACATTGGAACTCCTGGGAAGACACAATCAATAAATCTCATTTCCTTCTAAAAATACCGGTATTACTAAAATTACAGGGATTACTTTAATTTTATTTATTTAACAAGCGTGTGGGTGATTGCAGTGATCAGTAAGTATAGTCTTGGGCATTGCAGAGCTGCTGCTGAATGCTTCTCTGGCTGGTATTTAAATGCAGTTTGTCTGTTTGCCTTGTTGTCTGTATTCAGATCGCAGGGGCTTGTGTGGATAGATGAACGTTGTCAGTATTTTAAAACACACTCGGTAATGTGAAATGAAATTGAGGCAGTTGTTTCTCTTGAGATGCAGAAGGAGAATATATACTCCACAACACATGATTTGAAAACCATTTCCTGGTGTTATCTGGCTCTTCACTAAGCTAATGGCCTTATAATTTGCATTTAAATCATCGAGATAATACGGGCAAGCAGCTCTTATTCAGGACTTTTACAAATCTCTTGCTGTCTTGTTTGCTTTAACGTGCAGTAGTAACAAAATCTGTCAATGGTTAGTTTTTAATTTTGTGGGAGGCACTTTGGATGTTGTCAAATTTTGTGTACAACTGAAATAAATCTTGAATTACATCTGGAAGGAGACAGAGCAGGGGATTTACCTGGTGAAGGTGATAACAACCAATTCTTTTGGAGGTGTAGCTTTTCACTCAGGTTTCTCTTTACTAAATAGACACAAGGTAGAATTTGAGTAAAACACGAAGAGCTCCAATGTGTTGGGTGAGAGGGACCTCTAGTGGGTCCTCTCCTCCTTCCCTCAGCAGCCACCGCCGCCGTCCTGCGCTGTCCCCTCTTGTCACTGTAATCACAAAACACACATGGAGAATAACCACTGGCTGTGTTTCCTTCCAGGAGCTGAAGGAGAGCGGTGAACTGCTGCCGATCCTGAAGGGAGAGAATTAACGGAGAAGGACGTGGATGGGAACAGGACGACTTGGAACAGTTGCCCATGCAGGGATGGTGTTGGAGCAATGCACGGCTGAGCCTCGTGGAACCAGCAGCAGTGAATGCAGGCAGCTCATGCATCTGTGTTTCACAGGACCATGCTCCCTATGAAAACGTGTTGCCACTGCAGATACAAAAGTGTCAAGACCTTCAAATTCAATTAAAATATAATGCTAAAGAGCTCTGGGTCTGTTCTTACACTCTGTCTCTATTCATTGCGTCTGGGTGTTTAAGAACTGAGTGATGATGCTGCTTTCCCTTTAGTACTACATAGGACTAAATTGCATCTCTTTTTAGGCTCATCTCTCATTGGGAGAATATTAATGGCTGTACCTTTGTGGAACATCATAATTTCCTGTCCCTGTTAATAACTGTTTTCATGTCTAGTGAGCAAGAAAAATACTATTGAACCTGTAATGCGGTGCACCGTTAGGAAGTTGTTATTAATGAGTTCCAGCTGTATACGATGCATCTTCATTATCTAAGTAAGTCCAGAAGTGGTTAATTTCAGATGTTCAACTTATTCTGACACGGCTTTTTGGACATGCTGAAATTAGGGTGGGAATGAGCCAATAACCAGTGACCAGGCCGCTCTTTTGGTGTGTCCTCAGCGCTCCTTCAGTCCAATGGACGGGTTCACTTTCTGGGCTGTGACTTGGCAATTTAAATCACTGTGTTGTTATATGAATCCTTCACTTCTGCAGTCAACATTTAGTTTGGTTTAAGTCCTTCTTTCAACACCTGTAACACTCTGAAATAGAAGGGGCCCTAACCATGGGCTGACCGTTGAACCAGGAACAGCGCAGGTGTACCCGTAAATACAGGAGGGTTAATTCTAAATATACCAGAACCTGAAGCAAGATTTACTGGACTTCATCCCAGACTGGTAAGATTGACTGCAGAGGAGGTAATTACAGAGTTCTTAGTGATTAATACTTCATTAAATCCAGGTATTAATTTTCTAGGAATGATTTCAGTAATTACTGTAAAATGGTATCTTACAACATTAAAACAAATTTTAATCGCTGTAAAAAAAAAAATCTTGTCCCTCTCATGAAAACAAGCTTTAATTAATATCTCAGAATGAATTACAAATGCACCCAGGCAGTTGTCAGTAATAATCATAACCTGCTTCATTAAAAAAAAAGAGTAATTATATCAAAAAGTAGCATCCCTGTGGTCAAATTAGGAGGTGGAAGCTTTGATTACAAGCTTAAATGCAAGGTACTGTTTCTTCTGCAGTAGTTAATGGTTTTGGCTTTTTAAATTCCTTTTTGTTCAGAATTCACTATAGTGGAGTTTAACAACTCGAGGTTTGTAATAGAGTCCTCTGCTAATGTGGTTATACAAGTGCAGCAGACCAGTATACCAGTATGGGCTTTATGCTGGGAGTGAAACTCCTGTGCTGCTGCTGTTGCTTGGTGACTTGCCTTAACTTCTCATGGTGCTGAACTGGCTGTCTCCAGCTGTGGTGATCAGCACAGTTTGGTATTTTTGGTATATTCAGTACTCGGAATTCATTGTAAACCCACTCAGTGCAGGTTAAACTGGCACCCTGGTGTTTTTGGGGACAAAACCAGGCTTTCTGGAAGCAGGCACTGGGAGAAGTGGTTTGTAAGTGTAGCCTGGGGCTGGATTTGGGGTGCGGGGGATGCCCGTGCCATGCTGGGGAGCGCGGTGTGGGGACACCCCTGCACACTGGGGTGTGCGATGCAGCACCCCCCAGCAGTTCAATGGTGCGAACGGGGCGTCGTGTCTGAATTTCACACCGGCGCTGTTAAAATGCGGCGTATTTCTACACAGGGCTTGTGTAGGGACACCCCTGCAGCTCTGCAATGTAAGGACTTGTTCAGAGCATGTTCATGGGCTTTACACAGCTGTAATTTTGGCTAAGGTTTGTGTTGGGAGCTGCAGAAGTGCTGTGCGGGCAGAGGCTGCCTCTCCGTGGCAGGAGAGCGAACGCTGCATCAGTGCAACCCCCTCCTGGCTCGGTGAGAGAACTGGGAGACGTGCAGCTCCGTAAATCGCTCCTGGGAGTGGTTGCAGCCGCATTTGGTTTCAGGTAAACCCCCTTTGGTTGAAGGGGCTTCTGAAGGGATACGGAAGCCCTCTGCAACAGGCTGCTGGGTGAAGAAAAAAGAGTTTGTCGTGTTGCCTGCTGCGAATGTGTGAACTCTGCCCAAAGTCCCTCTTTACCCGCTAATAGCAAAGCACAGACTGAGTTCCTGAGCTGGTTTTCTGTAGATTAGGATGATTCGATTAATTAATACAGTTCAGTAGTGTTCCCAGACCCCTAAAGGTGAGTGCGGGGAGGCCGGGGGTGCCGAGCTGGGAGACATGGGATGAAACGCTGGTGTTCTGCACAGAAGAGGAAGAAGGCAGTGAAGTGTTGGAGCTGCAGCCCCAGAAGAGGTGAGTGGGGCATTGAACTCTTGTGTCTGTCAAAGATGGCATGGTACTTCTGACTGGTGGAGGAGTACATAACGTAACACGTCCTGTGTATTTGTATTTTTCTCTTTTGCTTTCTTTTCCTTGCTTGTCCCAAGATTTCAGTTAGATTCTTTTTCCCCTGTACTTAAAATATTGGGGCATAAGGGAAAGGAAATAACCATAAGCGTGTTCAGAAGAGGAGCGGGTTGCATCAAGAGGTTTGGGCTCTTCATCCTGGTAGGAGTTCAGGACTCGGACCTGGGGAAACCTGACCTGATTTCATCCGTTTTTAGCAGATTTTTTAGGTTGGATTCAACATGCTGAGGTCTGTCCACACCTGCATCAGTCCCTGCTTTTAAATGTCACAGCAGGGAAGTGTCAGTGCGCAGTGCTGCTGGGTGGTTTTAGCTCTATTTAATAACTTCACTTAACCCTGCCACCTCCTCCCTGCCTGAGTGAGAAATACCTTGAAAACACTCGGAAGTATTCAGTTCTTTTTGAAGACAAGCGTCATACAGCTGAGATAGCTAATGCAATATCATTTTAAAATGAAATATTAATCTGGAATTATGTGAACATTGGTTACAGGTTTCTGACAGTGCAAGGAGAAATTTGATGGAGTTAGTGATCTTAACAGGGGCAGTGTTAAATTTACTCATCAGAAAGCTGCAGTATCTCACATGAGGCAGAAGTGGAGGAAAGCAGCGACTTTGTTTTCCTTTAAGTTGTATCTCCAGGCAGCTGACACAGCTGAGACAATGGAGATGTTCAAAAGCAGTCGATGAACGTGGGTTTAAAAAGCCTGATTTTGCCTCATGCCTGACCACGACTTCCCTGTCCTTTTCCTCTTAAAATGCTTCACCCACTGACCCATTTCTCATCTTAAATTGAGACCTGTTTAAGCTCTGGTCTTCCTTAGAAGATGTGAAGGGAAAGGGAAGGATGGGCCACAGACCTTCACAGCCTTTTCTCTACAAATCTACAAAGGCGCCCTGTAAAAGTGGGAGAGAAAGAAAGGTGCAGCCTGAGTTCACGGGGTGCAAGGCTGCAGGGTGACCACTTCTGCCTGTTTGAGGTCTCCTATGTGAAAGAAAAATGGGTTTTCAAGGGGTTCCTCCATGTTTCAGAGTCACAGAGTGGTTTGGGTGGGAAGGGACCTAAAACTCCCCCCAGTCCAACCCCCATGGGCAGGGACACCTCCACCAGCCCAGGCTGCTCCAGGCCCCGTCCAACCTGGCCTTGGGCACTGCCAGGGAGGGGGCACCCACAGCTTCTCTGGGCAACCTGGGCCAGGGCCTCACCGCCTCACAGGGAGGGATTCCTGCCCAATATCCAGTCTAAATCTCCCCTCCTCCAGTTTAAAACCATTACTCCTCGTTCTTTCACTCCATGCCCTTGTCAAAAATCCCTCCCCAGTTTTCTCCCGCAGCACAATTACCTGGAGATGAATAGTTAAAACCAAGAAAACAGTGAATAGTTAAACGTAATTCGAATGTAAATGTAATGCCAGCTCGTCTGTGCCTATTAAAACCACTTTACAAAGGTGAGTCTTTATACATGAATTCAAATGCTGAGCAGCCTGCTCAGTGTACTGAAAAGCATGGACTTTGGGCTAAAAAAAAACCCGTTTCTGAGGAGTTCCCGGCAGCAGAAACAAGTGCGGGGCTGCTGCGGTGCAGCTTGGGGGCGCTTGGTGCTCAGGAGCTGGAGCTCGGGGTCCGTCAGCTCAGCGTCCGGGCTGGTGCGGGTACCACGTGTGGGACTGAAGGGGTTAATGCCTCAAACACGGGCAGGACAGGTCCTGCATAACAAAAGCTGCAAGTTCTGCTCCCTGAAAAGTGCTGGAAGCAGGGGGGGTGGGCGCCTGCCTGTCTGAGCACTCGCAAATGCGCAGCTCTAATGTGGGGAGGGGGCTCACGACTCCCAATCCCCCCCATCATCGCGGGATCCGAGGTCGGGGATGTTTTCCCTTCTCTTTCTTCCTGTCACCCTTTTCTTTCAAAAGGCACCCACTGAGAACCCGCACTGCCGACCGCTGTTATGCTTTCCAGATCCAGATCGTTCACGTCAAAACGTTGAATTCATCGTTTGGTGTCGGCTTACCTCAGTTTAGGGGATTTACGGAACTTTGGTCGCTCTCCTCCCGCTTCTGAGGCCGGACACGACACCAGGTTCGGTTGTTGCTGTTTTGGGGTTTTGTTTTTAAAGTTTAGAGCTAAAACCACTTACAAAAGCAAACTTGGACTCTTTTCAGCTTATTTTTAAGCTTACATATTAGGTGGGGGTAGTAGTAGTAGTAATAATAATATAATAATTAATAGTAGCAGTTGCCCACGGTCACTGGTACATCTCCTGAATGGCTGTTCTCAGGGACTGCCCGGTTATTTTGGAAATAAAGAAGTAAATGATTAATGAGGCTTGAGGAGCGGTGGTGGATGAAGTAGGGGTGTGCGGTGGGGCATGAAGCGGTGCAAGCGGGGGACAAAGGGAACAGAAAGGACATCTGACCGTCCAGTGCCTGGTATAATCTCTTTGAGCTGGTTTAACCCCAGCCTGTGGATTTTGGGATGTCAGAAACCTGTTGAATGCAAACCTATGGAAGGTCACAGTGCGGCTTTCGGGGTAATTAAGCAATGGCAACGCAATTAATGGCATTTTGTGCGAGTCGGGAGGGAAGGCCTGGCCCTCAGCTGGTTCGGTTTGGGCTGGAGATGCTGTGTTGTGTCTTATCCGCGATGTGATTCCGAGG